TCAGGAATCAAGGCATCGCCGCCTAAGACTGGCCAAATCGGAGCTAACATCGGGATGGTTGCCCCGAGCCGGTTCTATGGCCGCGCTGAGGAACTCAGCGAGGACTCCCCTCATCGCAGGTGTCAGTCTCGCCATGAGGGACTCTCTTTCATCGATGAAGAGAATGGCATCCTTGATGTCATCCGGTTCGATCCCTGATTGATATAAGGGCCTTAGGCAGGTTGAGTGCTTCAGTTTCTTGAAGATATCAATAACCATATACTCCTCCCTCATGATCGGCGTCATCTCCTCCTCGTCGGATGCAGGTGGTATCGGCCCGGCAGGCTGAGGCGCGGGCAGTGGGGGTGTTGGAGGCACTGCCGCCGGTTCGGGGGGAGACAGTGGAGGTGGAGACTCCTCGACGTTGGACATCTCAATGTCCGGTGTAGGGGCTGCAGGCTCGCGACTCCCAGGTGTTCGCAAGGACGGAGCAGGGGTCACTGGTGGAGGGGCAGGAGGCGCAGCCTCCGCAGGTGAGGCCAAAGGCGCTGGTGGTGATGGCCGGAGTGCAGCAGGTGGAAGGAGCGCTGCTCGGCTCGCGGGAGGCACGTCGGAGACCTCCATGGCTGGGCTGTGGGACGCCAGAGGTGGAGGCTGGGCAGATGGCTGCTGAGGCAGCTTGGGCGCAGTCGCTGGTGGGACGCTAGTGGTAGAGCTGGGTGTGGCCGGTCTTGGTTCCGTGGTTCGCCCTGCGAGCAGGGGGCAGTTGGCCCTGCGATGTCCTTGGCCACGGCACCTGGAGCACCTAATCCCGGTGGACAGGTATGCGGGCCAGGCCTCGCCTTTGATGGTGATGTCGAGGCGGGTGGGCAGCCTCTCGATGTTCATTCCTTCGCGGAAGATGATGAACGCCTCTCGGCGGCCGTCGTTGTAGACATAAGGGCCTGCCTTCATCAGCTTGGGGGCGATGGATGTTACTCGCCCGAAGGATGAAAGGGCGCTGATGACGGCTGCATCCCCCACGAAGAAGGGGAGGTTGCCCACCGTGATTCTCTCCGCCCTCTTGCGGAACGGGAAGGCCCTGTGGAGAGTTCCCTCCACCTCGAGGCCCTCGTTGACGAGGCGCTCGGCCATGCTTTTGTTTGCCAGTCCCACCAGGAAGTGGCCGTTCATCTTGGTCACTTGGAAGACCTCCCTGGTGCTCCCAAACATTCGGTCTATGGCCCTGATGTAATGGTAGGGCTCCAGTTCAGGGCTGCGTTCTACATAGACGCAGTGGTCCTCTGTTGAAGACGCCTGCCGCGCCCTGGCCTCCGCGATATGCGCCTGAGTGGTCCTGACCTCCTCCGCCCGCGGTGCCCATCCCGTAGATGATCGTGGCCGGCGAGTGGCTCCTGCGCCTCTGGTGCCAGAGGAAGGTGCAGCCGCCGCAGGTGATTCCGCCGAGTCACGGCGTCTTTTCTTTCTTTGGACAGTGATGAAAGGGTCCTCAGATTCGTGCTTGTTGTCCTCCGCTAAGTCTGCCCAGCTTCTATTGGCTTGGGCAGCGGCCTCGGAAAACGAGGCAGTAACGAAGTCGGTCGGCGTGGCCGGATTTGCATGATGTCCGCCGGCGGGCGGATTTGCATAGTTTTGATTTTTGTTGTAGAGATTTGAAGTTTTCTTCTGAAAATCTTCTTTCTCAGATAGTTCAGCACATGGTTGTGCTTTTGCGCCGTGCCTTACAGGCTTTTGCTTGGCGTTTGAAGGGCTTTCAGCCCGTATAAGGTTTGTCGCCATCCGCGACACTTTTCGCCCGCCAGAGGCGAAAAACTCAGGAGCTCGCGCGACGCGTGGCCGCACGCTCGAGTGTGTGTGTGTGTGTGTGACAATTTTTTTTTTGACAATTGAAAATAGTTTATTGTCTTCTAGACAATGTTACATCTCAAAGAGAAAGAGAGAAGAGAGGGGTATATACATTAGGTTAGCGCTTGCCGCGGTGACGTCTAGTCTTGGGAGCCAAGGCCCTCCTGAGCTCGGACAACCCACTGAGGATCCTGGGATGGGAATCCCGAGCGCGCTCGATGGCCGCCTCGAAAAAGACAGCGTAGTTTTTCTTCAAAATAGGCGAGAGTCTCGCAAGGAAAGGCGCCCTAGAATGGGGATGTAGGATGGCATCAATGGCGTCGGTCCAGGAGGTTTCATCATCGACCAAGGGTCCAGGGTTGATTTTGGACATGATGATCTCTCTCAAAATTTCATCGATGCAATCACCCAGGTTCGGCGGCAGGTCTTCCTCCATCGGGGTAGGTGGTAGGGACGGAGGTGTCATAGCCGGTGTCGGATCCTCTTTGTGAGGAGCAGATGGTGTCGGCCCAGCAGGCTGAGGCGCAGGCGGTGGGGGTGCTGAAACTGCGGCTGGTGAGGGAGCAGAGGGCTCCTCAGTGGTGGACATTTCCACGTCCGGTGTTGGGGCCGCAGGCCCGAGGGTCTTCTGGGCGGGCAGAGGGCCACGCGGGGCAACGAAGTCCGGCCGAGCGGGAGGCGGCTCTGGATGTTGTGATTTGGCCGGGCGAGGGCCCACGGGACCCTCAGGCGCCTGCAGGGACGGAGCAGGGGTCACAGGTGGAGGGGCAGAAGGCGCCTTCTCCATAGATACGGCCGGGGCCACTGGTGGAGATGGCCGAGGTGCTGTAGATGTAGTTACAGCTCGGGCCTCAGGAGGAGCGCCGGGAGTCTCCGAGGCTGGGTCGGAGGATGCCGGTGCAGGAGGCTGGGCTGCTGATCGCTGAGGCGGTGCAGGGGTGGTCGGTGGTGGGACGCCAGCAGGAGTGGTTGGTGGGGCCATTCTGGTGTTGTTGGCCAGCCCTGCAAGCAGGGGGCAGATGGCCCTACGGTGTCCTTGACCGTGGCACCTGGAACACCTGATTCCAGAGGTCAGGTATGCGGGCCAGGTCTCGCCTTTTATTTTGATCTCGAGGCGGGTAGGAAGCCTTTCGATAGTCACTCCTTCGTGGAGGGCAATGAACGCCTCTCGGCGGCCATCATTGTAGATGTAAGGGCCAGCCTTCATCAGTTTGGGCGCGATGGATGTAACACGCCCAAATGTCGAGAGGGCGTTGATGATGACACAGTCCGCCACGAAGAAGGGCAGGTTTCCAACTGTTATCCTCTCCGCTCTTTTGCAGAAAGGGAATGCTTTCAGGAGTGTGCCCTCAACCTCGAGGCCCTCGCTTATGAGGCGCTCGACCAGGCCTCTGTTGGTTAGTCCCAGCAGGTAGAGTCCGTTGACCTTGGAAACCTGGACGACTCCGCTGGTTCCTCCGACCATTCTGTCCAGTGCCCTTAGGTAGTGGAAGGGCTCTAGGTCGGGGCTGCGTTCGATATACACGCAGTACTCCTCAGAGGAGGACGCCTGCTGCGCCCTGGCCTCCGCGATATGCGCCCTGGTGGTCCTAATCTCCTCCGCCCGCGGCGCCCATCCCGTGGATGATCGCGGTCGGCGATCGGTCCTAGAACCTCCGACATTGGAGGATGGTGCATTCGATGTAGGCGAATTCCCCGAGCCGCGGCGTCTCTTCCTTCTCTGGACAAGAGTAAAGTTGTCCTCAATTTCAGGATTTATATCCTCTGTCATGTCTGCCCAGTTTCTTTGAGCTTGGGCTACGGCATTGGAAGATGGATTAGCCGCCAAGTTGAACGGCGCGGCCAGATTTACATCTTTACCGCCGGCGGGCAAATTTGCATATTTATCAAATGCTTCTTGATTATTAGAGTAATTGCTCTGCGAATCGAAAATTGCAGATTTCTCTGCACAGAGGTGTGCTTTCAAGCCGTGCCTTCCAGGCATCTGATCAGCTTTTAATGGGCTTTCAGCCCGTGCTAAACTCGGCGTACCGCCGGTATCCATACACCCGCCAGGGTGGGAAAAAGGCGGAGCTCGACAAATGCGTGCCGCACGGCCGAGTGTGTGTGTGTGTGTGTGTGTGTGTATGGGAATAAAGATAGACTACCACCATGATAGCAACATATATTGATAGACATTCCATTTGAACTATCCCACTGATCCTAAATGGAGTATGAGTTGACAGTATCCTATCTCTCTACAAGATGAAGTCATTCGAAGACAAAAGATCTCCTACCAAAGGATATTACATAGCATGGTAAATATGTAAATACACAGTAAATAACTAGTTTTAAAAGATCATTTGTTGGTTAAAAGTTTGTTTGGAAAAGTATATGGCTACATCAACCTTTTTTTAATAAAAGGTTCCCGATGTTTCAGGGGAATGATTGAATCATGAATCAGAATCTTTCCCCTGAAGAGACTGACAGCGAGTCACTAAGACTTTAAAAAATAAATTAAAAACTAGTTTATGTAGTCATTTATTTTCCAATAAATAAATAGTTATTTTTTATTGTCCTGAATCTCTTATAAAGAGTTTAAAGAGTTTAGCTTCAAATCTTCAAACTTTTTTTCTAAATTTGATTCTGAACCGTCATGACTTGAAAGATGTCAAAGGCTTATGAAATCTTCAAACTCGATTTTATTTTCACACAATTCTGACCGTTGACGATTTGATCTCAAGACTTCATAAAACCGTCTGTTGCTACGTGATTGTATATTATTGGATTACTTTACTTGAAAAATCCTCAAACTCTTGAACATAGTGTGTTACGTCTCTTGATGAATCGATCTCAAGATATAAAGAAAGATTTAAACTTGAGTTAGCCCCTCTGCATCTTAATGACTTGATTTCAAGACTTGGAGAAATTTTCAAACTTGAATATATCTACGCCTCTGTATCTTGATTTCTTGAACTCAAGACTTGAAGAAATCTTCAAACTTGAACATCGCTACGCCTCTGCATATTGAATGCTTTAACTCAAGACGCGAAGACTTTGACTACGCTTCTGTGTGTGCAACTTAATAAAGTGATCTCGAGGCTTGAAGAAATCTTCAAAAATTCGGATTTGTTTTCAAATCCCAAAATCTTGAGCAGTTTGATCTATCAAAAACATAAGAAAAATCTTCAAACTCGGGTTAAATCTCACCCCTGCACCTTGATGATGTATGTCCAAGGTGTTCTGGTGGGATGTGATCCTGGTTTGATGGAATAACATCGACCCAACTTCATCGATCATCCTGCTCCAGAATTCTGTTGACAGGATGACCTATGATCATAGACAAGAGTCGCCTCTCCATTCTGTCCATCTATTGGTCAGCTGTCTTCTTTGACGGCAATATGGCTGACCATCTGGGATCAAGTTAAGTGGTTTGTCAACATTTGAATTTTCTATTTTCCTCTTCTTCTTACTCCAAACATCCCATCTTAAATATGATCATGTAGCTAGCAGTTCCTCCTTCTAATACGCCATAGTTATTAATATCGTATTTATTCACAAGTGTGTTTGTCTCTCCCTTTCCCTTTTTTTTTCTTTTATACAAAAAAAAAATTCAAAACAAAAAATACATATCCTGACCGTTTATATGAGCATTTTAGATGGTAGAACGCCATCTAGTGGAACAAAAATCAACTAAACGTTGATTTAATTTGTTCCGTGATATTTTGCCAACCCCTTTTTCTTGATATGTTGGCTTTCTTTATTTATCAAGAAAATGGGTTGGCTAAATATCACGGAACGCGTTCTACCATCTAAAAAGTTCATGAGAGCGGTCACGATATGTCTTTTTTTGTTATTAATATCAACTTCTAACCTTTTTTCTATTTTTTTTCTTATTTTTCTACCAAAATTATGTATCCCATCAATAACCAGTCTATATTTGTCTGTTGTTACAGTTAAAGAATCCATTTTACCAACGTCTTTAAACAAAATGAAAATTTTCAAATTGAAAGCTAGTTTTGCGGTAAGTACCTCTTATACTAATGTGGCTGATTCATATGGAACATCAATCACATTGACTTTTTACTCTTTTAAGTTATCAGAGTTTATCACTTTTAATAATATTGTATTTTATTTGTTTATAACTATATGAATAATACATTTAATAGACTCTCTATTATAAATATAATTCTTAAAATTAAAGATACTTCGGCCAGTAAATCTTTTTATTATTAGAGATAATAAAAATATATATATTTACTGGCCGAAGTATCTTTAGTTTTAAGAACTATGAATTCCGGCCAGACAGCCTCTATCTTTAAGATATAAATATAATGTAGTACTTACAAGTAATTATATTATATTTATACACACATGCAAATCATTTATTAAGACACCATTCTTATACAGATTCACCTCTCTCATTGCCGGCTTGCAACGATATCCCCACGATGGTCAATCAACATCATGTAGTGGTGGATTATATTGTAACTGAATAAACTACTTTGTCTCATATATCTCCTAAAGCTAAGATAGCCGGCCCTAAACTTACCTTATTTCTTCCATTCCAACCATTATATAAAACCCCATCCCCCCCCCCCCCCCCCCCCCCTATGACGAAGGGGAATTTGAGTCGCCGTAACTTCAATAAATAAATAACTCGAAAACGCTTGAAATACACTCATGGACAAAACTTGAGGAAGTTGTACCTTTTAGCATGTATATCGGGATTCAGACAGTGGAGTCGACTTGATCAGTTATTTGAAACTTGCGACCTCTAAAGCCACCGGCCAGTTCGTACAACTGTAATGCTGCCCATATCAATTCTTTGTCTGCACAACGTCTGGCCTCTAAAGCCAGCGGTCTGATTTTACAGGCATGGTACTGTCCTGATAAATTCTTTAATATTTGACAAAGCTTTGTTTCTAAAGCCAGCGACCAGATCTTGTAGCCTTGGGGCTTCCTGATCAGTGACCTTTATTAAAGACACACGAGATAACCAAGTATGAACAAAATTGCCTCTGTATCCAAAAAAAAAAAAGAGACAACCAGCGACAAAGTTTTGTTCATGAGTATATTTAACCTCTACAATTATACATTATGAAATTTCAAACTATTTTTGATGCGTATGTTTCTTTTTAAATTAAAATAATATTCTACTGTGCCCCCTTACTGTAATGATAAAATAATAGGAAGACCCCTGGCTCGCCAGTGGTGAACGGTGAAACCGCTTAACAAAGATTCCCCACTGATGAGCAAGTCCCTTCCATTAGTTTATCATCGCAGCAAAGGGGCAGTAGAATATTGTTTTAATTTAAAGATAAACATACGCATCAAAAATACTAGTAGTTTGAATTTTTTATAACATATGGCGCGCTAATGTATCAAGTTATACATTCTAAAAAAGCATAGGGCTCCTCTCCCGTCAAATTAATCGTCAAAACTAGACGCCATCTATTGACTGTCGCCGCAAACTAGCAAACTCGGGTCGGTGACAGAGACACAACACCAGCTTTGGCAAACTGAAAAGCGTCCACCTAGAGACCACATTTTTTAGATCAATTTCCTCCCGGCAAAAAAAAAAAAATTCCATCTATAAGTTATACATTAGTTGATATATTTGTGGGTATAATGTACCTAGACACAATATATTAATACTTATAAATGACTGCGGCGTATAATTATAAAGCTATACAACCAGTTTAACCGCATAAGATTCTTTTTATTTATGAAAAATCATTTTTAATTTCAAAGAGAAATAATTTAATATTTCTAACTTTTGGATGACGTATGGAAAGGTTGAATATATGAAGAGTGATGGTCTATATATGAATGGATGACGTATGGAGGGTGAAAAATATGAAGAGTAATGGCGAACGGAAAAATAAAAGTGTCCAGGAGCGGGAATCGAACCCACAACTTTCTGCTTACCGGTAAGCAGAAAGTTGTGGGTTCGATTCCCGCTCCTGGACACTTTTATTTTTCCGTTCGCCATTACTCTTCATATTTTTCACCCTCCATACGTCATCCATTCATATATAGACCATCACTATTCATATATTCAACCTTTCCATACGTCATCCAAAAGTTAGAAATATTAAATTATTTCTCTTTGAAATTAAAAATGATTTTTCATAAATAAAAAGAATCTTATGCGGTTAAACTGGTTGTATAGCTTTACAATATATTAATGATTAATTGATACACGTGTAAATATATCGGAACACCTGTTTATTGGGTCGAATCATGATGAATGATTATCATGACTATGTGAGCATCTGTAGACATGTAGATGCTACAGATCGACCCAAGATATCTACCGAACGAAGGCAAGATAGACACCCGGGTGTAAAAAAAATGTTCAGAGAATTCAAAAAAACAAAGTGATCTAAGTAGAGGACATCCAAAGATCAAAGTGAAATTCCAGAGATGTCATCCGAGCAGGTCAGCCGAGACCGCCCTCGAAGTCTCAGATGGCTGAAAGGGGAGAAACCTGCAGCTAGAATAGCCCTACTTGACACTTCACCTACAGTAGTATAGTACTTCATGTTACTGCTTGTACTGTAAGTACAGCACATGTCTACACGTGTAGTACCAGGCCATGGTGGGTTGTGACTGTTTATACTGGAAGTACAGCACATGTCTACACGTGTAGTACCAGGCCATGGTGGGTTGTGACTGTTTATACTGTAAGTACAGCACATGTCTACACGTGTAGTACCAGGCCATGGTGGGTTGTGACTGTTTATACTGGAAGTACAGCACATGTCTACACGTGTAGTACCAGGCCATGGTGGGTTGTGACTGTTTATACTGGAAGTACAGCACATGTCTACACGTGTAGTACCAGGCCATGGTGGGTTGTGACTGTTTATACTGGAAGTACAGCACATGTCTACACGTGTAGTACCAGGCCATGGTGGGTTGTGACTGTTTATACTGGAAGTACAGCACATGTCTACACGTGTAGTACCAGGTCATGGTGGGTTGTGACTGTTTATACTGGAAGTACAGCACATGTCTACACGTGTAGTACCAGGCCATGGTGGGTTGTGACTGTTTATACTGGAAGTACAGCACATGTCTACACGTGTAGTACCAGGTCATGGTGGGTTGTGACTTTATACTGGAAGTACAGCACATGTCTACACGTGTAGTACCAGGCCATGGTGGGTTGTGACTGTTTATACTGGAAGTACAGCACATGTCTACACGTGTAGTACCAGGCCATGGTGGGTTGTGACTGTTTATACTGGAAGTACAGCACATGTCTACACGTGTAGTACCAGGCCATGGTGGGTTGTGACTGTTTATACTGGAAGTACAGCACATGTCTACACGTGTAGTACCAGGCCATGGTGGGTTGTGACTGTTTATACTGGAAGTACAGCACATGTCTACACGTGTAGTACCAGGTCATGGTGGGTTGTGACTTTATACTGGAAGTACAGCACATGTCTACACGTGTAGTACCAGGCCATGGTGGGTTGTGACTGTTTATACTGGAAGTACACGCGTGTCTACACATTTAGTACAAGGCCGTGATAATTATGGTAGGTGCTGGGTGTTGTGACTGCTTCTACTATAAATATACCACCTATCTACATATGTAGCCATGATAATTATGGTAGGTAGAGGGTTATGACTGATTTTACTGTGAAAACAACACATGTCTACACATGTTGTATCAGGCCATGATAATTGTGGTGGGTATAGGGTAGTGGCTGCTTTTACTGTGAAAACAACACATGTCTACACATCTATATAAAAACTCGTTATTCGGGCACATTAATTTTATTTATATATAACAGAGAAGGAAGTTTTACATAAGGCAATAAGTTAGTTATATATGAATTAAAGAAGGAGGGCATTGTGATAGATATAGAAATATAACTACTATCTCAATGCCCCTCTTTAGTTCATATAACTGACTTGTAGCCTTACATAAAACTAACTTTCACATCATATATGTGATCCGCTAAAAGTGAGTTAAACTCGGTATTGTATTCGTAGTTAAAAATCTATATTTATCCAGAATTTGTACATTACATATTTTGCGATGTTAAACATCTTTTTACTCGTTGTTTCATGACCAAAAACGAATTTTCCTTCGATCAAAAACAGAACGTGGATCAATATTTTCACAGATAAGTTTTAATTTAACATTAAAACGCACTAACGACAGGCAATTGAAATAGCAATGCTCTGTCGCGATTTGCCAAGGCGTCTAGGATACAGCAGTGGGCGTAATTTCATTCTCC